CTGCGCGCACGAACCACCGCCGTTAACCGACGCGGTAGACAAACCGTCGTGTGCCGATTGACTTTGACTTTCAGGACTGCTCAAGCTACTATAGGTCGACGATTCACCGGTATCGGATCGAACAGAGTCACAGCTAGTCGCACCACTACCACCACTACCGACAACAACACTACCGCCACCACTGATACCGACGTTAGACGACGACGAAGAAAGCGACGAGCCGGCCTGGTTATCGAAACCGTCCTGTTGCCGGCTCTTCTCCTCCATATTGACGCGTTGCTCGACACTATCGCCTTGAAAAACACTCGACGACGACGACGTTTGAGACGTTTCGTTTCCCTGACGCGCGTACGCGGCACAAGCGTCGTCGCTCAGAAGACCGACGCAACCCTCCCCGGAATTCCCTTGCACGATTCTACCGCTGTCGCTGTAACCGTCTACCAGTCTTGCACCAGGAGGATAAATCTCACCGTGAATTCTCGACGACGGGAATAATTTGTTGGGTACCATATCGCTTCCGTTTACCCTGCCGATCGGCTCCACGTTGTTCGCCGCGAGACTCTCGGTACCACCGCTCGAATCGTTTTCCAGCGGGCTTCGGTTCGTTGGATTTTTGTTATCGCACGTCGACACCGCGCACGTCATCGTCGTGGCCGTGGACGTACCGATCGCTTGGACCAAATTGGTCTGTCTATAGAGTAAACCGTTGTTCGCGACGATCGTTCCGTAATCCTCTTCGTCTTCCGCGTTACCCGTGGACAAGGACCGCGCCGATCGGCTCGAGTCTCCGTCGGCGGACGCATATTCGAGCGGCTTCAACCGGCAACAGTTGTTAGCCGTGCCTCCGACGACACCGCTGTTATCATTACAGTATATGGCGGTTTTGGCGGGAAACGTCGTCGCCGCCGTCGCCACCTGCGGCGGCAAAATGCCGGCGTACGTCGCCTGCTGCGGAGACTGATAGCCAACTGCGGTAGCAGCAGCAGCAGCGGCGGCGGCATTCTGACCGACCGCCGTCGCGTACGCAAAATTCTCCCCCGAAACGTAGACTAGAACGCTATTCTGTTGAATTCCTTGTGCGTGTTGAGGATGCACTTGTTGTTGCTCTTGCTGTTGCTGGTGCTGTTGTTGTTGTTGCTGTTGATAATGATGATGATGATGACCGTGATTCGGGGGAGCAGGGTGCGTGGACGGCTGCTCAGGCTTGCCGGCCATGGTCCAGGTCCAGCAGCGCTGCAAGTAACCCCGACACCGACATCACTGGAACGCAGGTTGTACGCCTACGTGGAGATACCTCGAGGTCTTGCCGCATCCTCCGTAAACGGGAATAATCAGGCGCTTGCCACTGCCGAAATCCGCCGCGTTCTTTCGATCGTTCTTCCTGGCCACGCACGCTCGCCGATGCTTACAATCTCGCAGCTGTCGTCGAGGTTCTCGTTGCTCCTCGACATCCTCGGCTTCACCGCGTAGGGCATGCCAGATGAGTAGTTCACCAGCTGTTCTTACCTATTCTCCTTGATTATTTTTCTAGTTACACGTATGTTCACGAACGCTTCTTTCGCAGCTGATCGCCGCCATACGATAACGGTGCCAAGATTTTGAAATTGGAGAATATTCGACGGCGACAGACACGCGCTATTCAACGGTCAATGTCCGTCTAACCTCTCCTTTACCATCGGTGCACTTTACTGATCTTGTTAAATTCTTGTGAATTCGAGCTTATGATAAATATTTTGATGTTACGTTTTGTTCTTTGAACGGTTAAAAAACGTAAAAAAATAATACGGTGATTTTAAAACTCTTCGTTTGGTCAATGTATTTTCATTCTGAAAACGTATTTTCTTTAACGGTATTAATTGATGTTTTTCCGGGAATGTTTATACCGGATCACAGATTTTTTTCATGAATGAGCACCGTGTAATGGAGAAATGATTTATTTCAAGGATAAAAATCATATTTGCTTAAATAAATTTGGTGGCACTTATAGCAGAATGAACGATAAAAATGAATTCCTTGAAACTCTCGTACGCTGCACCGCTTTGATGGACAACAAGCGAATAACACTGTTTATTAGGAAATTGCGCTTCTGCTTTCATTCACAAGGTCGATTTATGAAGCGACAGCTCACTCGTTTGTCTTATTCACCAATCCAGTTGCGCCGGAACAACACAATGGGGCCAAGCATTCAACTAACCTAAACTCTCGAACACGCTGTTACTCGTGACGCGTGTAGATTACACTGAAAAATTATTTTGGCCGTAAGAAATATCTCGAACGTTGCGGATGCCGACGAGCAACGTTTCGGTCGACTTTGGTGACGAAACACGACGCTTATGAAGAGGAAATATTTGAACGTTACAAGAAAGTCAGGTCGTTAAGGTCGTTGTGTCATTGCCACGGTCCCGTCGCGTTATTCGCGGTCGCAGTTCTGATTGCTCCGTTTCACATGTACGCACTTTTCAACGAAAGAACGATGAATGACACACAATTGTGTCATCCATAAGCCACTGTCACTGAAAAAAATACGATACTCCAAATCTTCGTTCACACACTAAACAAGAAAAACCATCATCTCCGGCACTGAATAAATTAAGGTTAATCGTGACCGAGCCACGACTTGCTCGATCGGTAATGGCGCGAATGCACTCTCGGTACAAAAAACACTTTATATTGCCGTAACAATTCGCGTTAAATCGCACGGACGGACGTACGTCGTGTTATGACGCTGTGTCATCGTCACAGCAGCAGTAGCACCACCACCACCACCACCTCCACTGCCTCCACCACCACCACTAGTATTACCACCACTACCACCGGTCGCGGTTACGAACTCGGGTTAAGTTAACTAACCCTCTTCTCGACTCGAACACCTGCGCGGGCCGCGCTCATCGTTTTCACCGAACCTCACTTCTTGATCGCATGGAAAACGTACGCTTGTTATGTTCTGACTAGCACAGTTGCCTCGTTTTCTTGCACTGATCACTCGTCGCCTGACTGGTAATCACTTTCTCGTATAAAACACTGCTTCGACACGGGCTACTGAACGAAACTTCATTCTGCAGATGCTATGCGTACGCTGTTTTCGCGTAACTGATATTGGAAAAATATGGCTCCCTCCGCATACCCAGAAACCTTTGCGGCATCTCGACGGCTGGCTTTCGGCCACTGTCGTATACGCACATTACAAAAACATCGACCCTCACTGCGATTATATCGCCATCGTTAGGCTATTCTACGTAACTCAAAGGCACGTTAACATTGTTACTTCCCATGAACGATATTAAATATACTTAATTCCCCTCTATACGTTCACGATGAAATACTCTTTTCAAAAAAAAGAACAAAAATTGCTATAAATTATCATAATGTTGAAGAATAATAAGTTCCATAAATGTAACACTAAAACGTGGTTTAAAAACGGAGAAAAATAATTCTGTTGAACGATAAATGAAATAAACACTTAATTACGTCACATGTATGAAGGATTAAAAGGTCAATTGCTGTAACAACGAGTCTTTGTATATATTTGACATTTTACTTTTTCCAATTTATTTGAGACGATTCAAAAACGTACTAATCAATCACCAATTTATCTATAATAAATAAGATTATAATACGCGTCTATTTAAATTTGCTATAGTAATTGCGGACGAGTACATGACCTCATATACAGTAAATTATGTGAATGTCGAAGGCGTATTTAATTTAATGCAGATACGATCATTAAAATGGACATTTGTTCACGCGCATTACCGATTTTCAAATGAACAAAGTACGTTTCATTCGGAAATGTTATACAAAAGCTTACTAACGTTGATAAATAAAATTTTTAGAAAATTAATCATTTTCAGTTCCAGCATTGTAATTATAAGCAAATATTGGAACGTCTTTATTACACAAATGAGTTTTGTGAATACGCGCAGTTCACTCACACACATACACAGGAACCTGTTTTTTTTTTTTTTTTTTCATTTTAATTATAATATTGATTGACAAAATATTATTTTTACGTAGTCATACGTCGGCAATAAATATCTAAACGAAATGAACATTATATGTAATGGAATATTGTCCCCACAAAAAAAAAAGAAAAAAAAAGCGGATCTCGATGTTTGGAATTAAGATTACGAAAGATGTTATACAATTTATTTCTAATAATATAGTACGTTCATCACATTATTTGCTGTTATCATGATCAACGTTACTTATGTCAACATTAAATGAAATTCTGAAAGAAATATAAAACACCAAATAATTTAAGAAACAACAGAATATTAGAATACGGATAATGTATTAATTTCTTTCGACTGTCTAATTATACCTCTAGCATTCGATATGCGCGTATCAGTGTTGAGAATTGCTAACTATTCATTATAAAGAAATAAAATCACAAATAGACGAAGGTAATTAGAATGTTTAGCATTATGTGATATAATTGATTATGTTTTCTGTTCACTACTAACGTTACACGATGTTGCAGTAGATGCTGATTAAATTCTTCTTTCTTATCATTGTGTTTAATGATAAGTACATTTTTTAATACTTTTCTACAGCAAGCAATGAATTAGTTGTAATCAGTTTACTCGTTTCCACCAGAATTTGTAGTTGAATTCAGGAATGATGATAAATGTATCATCGCTAGTGCTAGCAACGGTCTCCTATACAATTCAGTATTTGCGTATGATCTTTGCAGAGTCGTTGGTGATTCCATAAGTATGGTTTTCACGGTGGTGCACGTGTCTAAACGTTTCTCTCAGGTTCTTTTCGTTCATCTTGAAGAACTTTTACATGCCCGCATTTTTCGTTCTTCTCTTAATACATACGATCAGAATCGAGCGAATGGGACAGAAGTTTAAAATGAAAGAATGACCATATTTATTGTAAAATTGATGTAATCGTTTTAATGTGTGGCACATTGGACTCGCGAAGGACCTCCTTCGTCTTCTTCGTAAGCTTGTCGCTGATCTCTTCGCCTAGCTTCTTGTTCCAGATCCAGATCTAGATCCACGAGAGAACATTCTTCCGCATTATCTGGAATTATTGCCTCTTCTCTTGGAGGTAGACATTGTTCAAGCGTTGGAATAACAGCAGGGTCTATGGTTTTTGGGAAATTCACTACAAATTGAATTATAAGTCTGCCATGTGTAAAGGGATCTTTGTAAACAGGCATTCCCTCGTTCAAAATGCACTTCAAATCTCCATATTTTATAACTGTTCCCGGATACGACGTTACTACCAAATTTCTATCGTCTAAAGTACGAATAACTTTCTGGAACCCACATAGAGCTTCTACTAGTTCTAGATGCATCCTCATAATTAGATCATTGCGCGAACGCCTATAAAAAAGTACATGAGTAAACATGTAATTAATGCATAACATAATACCATTCAATTAAAATTACTAGAATACTGACTTAAAAACTTCATGTTCCTTTTCTTCAAGAAGAATAACGATATCTCCTGGTTCATAGTCTGGTTCTTGATCACCCTCTCCACTAAAAATGATTTTCTGCCCATCTACCATGCCTGGGTCAACGTGAACTTCCAAAATTTTCCTCTCCCTTACTGTTTTCTTGCCACCACATTGTTTACAACGATCACGCGGATTTATGCGTTCTCCTTGACCTTTACAGTCTGCACACATACTCTGCAAATGCTGCAGCATTCCAGGTCCTAGCTGTTGTATTTGAACTTGCATACCAGTTCCATGACAGGTAGTGCAAGATTCGACAGCCCCTTTCTTTCCACCAATACCTAACATAAATATAGGAATATAATTCTTGTTTTTACATCAAAAATTGTAAATGAATAACATTAAATGTTTACCTTCACATTTATCACAAATAACGTTCTTTTGTAGAGCTAACTTGCGAACAGTGCCTTTGTACAACTCCTCCAACGAAACGGACAATTGATGCATAACATCTTGACCTTTACGTTCTCTCCTTCGATTGCATCTTCCGAAACCTCCACCAAAGAACATATCAAAAATGTCCATAGGCGAAGAGAATACATTGCCACCACCACCACCTTCTTTCAAAGCTTGTTCTCCACCTTGATCATAAATTCGCTTCTTTTCAGGATTCGATAATACTTCATATGCTTGCGAAATTTGTTTAAACTGTAATCAAAATGGAATTTAACAATCTACTCGTCATATAAAGTAATTAATAAGTTCATTGTAGTTAAACAAAACAAAATGCTACTAACTCTTTCTCCTTCATTAGGATTTTTATCAGGATGATATTTAAGCGCAAGCTTCCTATAAGCTTTCTTCAAATCTTCCTGAGCACATCCAGGCTTTACACCCAAAACATCATAGTATGTAGTTTCCTTTACCATTTTCAATAATTTGTTCCTTACTGAATCTGCTCTATATGTGGTATACTAGTTCTGCTCCTGCTAATAACCAAATATACCAAAAACTTATTGTCATTTTTGTCCACATAACATTTTATGTAGATATATAAATTCCTTAAATTATTTAATAAATTTAATTTTGTACACATATTATTATTCCTGACACTGAAATCATAATTACTTTAATTATTAATGATTTCATTAAATATAATTTTATTTATTTTACAAAATATAGTGCAGTGTAGTGTGAATCAAAAAGAACAACTACCTTCACTGGATAAATTATGTTTCTATAAGATTTTAAAATTTTTGAAAATGTTACTTATTTAATTGCAATAAACTTTTAAATAATGTAAATATAATAAATGTAAATAAATACTTGAAGCAAACATAAATTAGATATTATATACTAAATGAATTTTGAGTACAAATTGTTATATGTATTGTGTTTACATATTTTTTTGACTATCTACTTATTTAGAGCATATTATTGATCAAACCTCCTTCCTGGAAATAATTAATTCAATTAAAAATTCAAAAGTGCTATTAAAGATTGGTCATCATTTGATTTAGTAATTCATATAGCGTCATAAACCTACTAAATAAACATACTGAATTTAATTTAAAAGTCATTATGTATCATAAAGATTCAACACAAAAAAAACCTGACAGCAAAAGTTATATTTTATGTAAAATATATTTTACATTATAGTAAATATCTTTGTTTTACGTATGTTGCAAGATATAGCAAACATATCAGCAAATTATAACGCAATTTGAGAGCAGAAATATATTGTAATGGCCTTGAACTTCAAATACTTCTAATTTTAATTACATAACACAATTAAAGATATATATGTATAAACAGTTTTTTTATTATGAAACAGTCATAGTTCCTATAAATAATTTGAAGTTATAGAAAAATATTCATATTAATATGTAATAGAATTTGAACTGTACACTCTCGAAAAGTCCCGTATCTTGTATCCATGTGCGTCTTTGGTTTCAAAATGGCGTCCACATTCACTTTAAGTTGGCGAAATATAATTAATTGATATGAAAACGGAAATTACATTCCGATTTCAATGTTTCATATTATTCATCGTGTTATGAACAAAGAATCACTAAACTTTCTAGATCTTTCCGCTATCTCATATACATATATACAGAAGCTTGAACTACCGGTTGAAGATCAGGTAAAAAAAAAAGATAAATGCTAAAATAAGATTTTGTAAAACAAAAAATTGATATTGATAAATAATTTAAATTGTGTAAGTAAAAATAAAAATAATAATTACTAGTTAATGCAATTTAAATGACAGATATACTTTGCAAACTTCAACCACGTTTTGTACTGACAAGAGTAGGGCAATAGGAACATCCACCATTTTTCAACGTAAAGTGCGAGTCATGGACGAGCATAGCTTACATGATAAAAATTCATTGACGCGTATTTCGTAATATACAATATGCTGAAGCGTGTTCAATATTATTATTCAACCTTCAGAAGTCCACTGCAAATTTAAGAATGGTTGAAGCAACTTTAAATTTCTGACGATATTCTCCAATATCGTCAACTAGTCTCTTCTTACTTGGTTCTGAACATTTAGCGCTGTGCAAATCTCTATCTTAACAAAAATTCACCGAGCTTGCAATCGATCGCACGGTTCAACAACGAAAATTATAGCCGTTCGCTGCACATCCTCTACGATATTTTTCTGTTCACGTTGATTTGCGTACGATCTTACCTGTATCAGCAGAAAGTTACTTGTGGAAAATATCCGTGCGTCGGAAACGCTCGTCTCACTCCACGTAATAGTATTTGACGAACTGTTGCAAGCGCATAGAACTCCCACCAATATTACAGTTCGTATCCGTTCTCGAAACTTCCTAGAAGAGTAATGGACGTTACTCCAAAGAGAACCAATCAGGTACACTGAGGACTGTAGTCAGCGCCAAATATAATTACGGTCTTTTTGGGAATGTCTGAGATGTGTTCGCATATATTCCGTCGATAAGCTAGCAAAACTTTCTCTTGCAATAAACAATTTATAAGTGAATGTATTACACTTTTATACCACTATAACGGAATGTATGTATATTTCGTTTGCTGCGAAAATTATCGTCGAATAAATTATTCGATGATTTTGCGCCACTGGACAGTTTAGGAAATTTCTAGTCGCAAGAACGATGCCCCTCTACAGCCTGCTTTGACCTTCGTGGTCATATACATGGTGGGACAATATAAAGGAACAAGGGAATCTGATGATAATGTAATAGGGGGATATGATACAACTAAATTACTGGGTATATATTTTTGTCGTCATGGCCGTCAGAGGAGCGCATGCATACTGTTCATAGATTATACAGTGTGTAGAATCAAACTCAGTAAAAATGTGGTAAAAGAACGAAAACTAGTAAGGATACTCGCTTATAGGTTGAAGTATAGGAACATATTTATCCGTAGATAGCGCAACTCGTTTCCGTATCCGTCCTTTTACTGGCGGTACACTAATCAAGCAAAATGGTATGTATTTTGCATCTCAAAATTATTTGTTAATCATTGAAAAAGATTAATAATATTGGTTTATAAGCTTGTTAAACATGCAGCACAAGCTATTTTTTATAAATATAATTCACTAATATTGTTTCTTTACCTCTTAATATTTACATGATTATGATATGGTTATGTCAACTAACAGGGAAAGTGTTAATAATGAATAAAGTAAAAACAAAAATGTAAATGGAAGGACACTTTTCAGTTATATTAATAAAATTTGTATTAAAATGTTATTTTCAATTTATTTAATTGTTGCTGTTGAAGATAACGAAACTCTAATATAAAAATTACAAACAAAATATAACCTTAAAATATTGTTCTTTTCTTCAGACGGAGGGTGCAGTTACGATTAGAACCAGGAAGTTCATGAGCAATCGGCTACTATGCCGAAAACAAATGGTACGTATTTGTAAATTTTTTTTGTTTTTATTAATATATTTATTTATACTCTTATGTGTCACTAAGTTTGATTAATAGTTAGTTAATGATTGTCATAAATTTCTATGTACTATGTTTGTTTTATAGGTCGTGGATGTTTTCCACCCAGGTCACCCATCTGTCCGTAAAACAGAAATCCGGGAAAAACTAGCCAAAATGTACAAAGTTACACCAGATGTGGTCTTTGTATTTGGTTTCCTAACAAATTTTGGTGGTGGCAAATCAACTGGATTTGCATTGATTTATGATACATTGGACTTCGCAAAGAAATTTGAACCTAAATACAGGTTAGCTAGGCATGGACTGTATGAGAAACAAAAGCAAACAAGGAAACAACGTAAAGAACGTAAGAATAGGATGAAGAAAGTTAGGGGTACAAAGAAGAGTAAAGTAGGAGCTGCTTCTAAAAAGGTAAGATGACCTTAATTCTGTTATACAAAGAAAAACCTAAGAGTTTCTTAATTTAGCAAATTCTTCATTCTTTTAATAATTTCAAATAATAAGTTGGTGGTGGATCATGTATTGTTCATTCATTTGGTAATGGGTTTATGTTATATTTTTTTCAAATTTTAGTACAATTTTATCTTTGAATGTTTAATGATCCATTTTTGTTGAAAGATTATTTTAGTCATTTAAGTCTTTTAAATATTTAAGGAATTTTTAAGGCATTTTGTTAGTTATAAGGTGGAAGCATAAATATTTAACGTTTTTTTACTCATAATTTCTTTTGTGGCTGGACAGGTGCTACAATCATGAATAGTGTGATTGTACGTATAAATATTAGTGAAAAAAGGAGTAATATTATTGTACAGAAATTTGGTATTCAAAAAAATCTAGTTTTAGGACAAAGTGTAATAAATTAAGATCCAATGACTTTGTTGACTAATTTATTAGGTTTTCTTTTTTAGCAAAGGAATACTAGAAAAGCATTCCTTTTTTTATGTGAAATTAGAAACATCCTTTAACCAGTTGTATCACCTGTCCTGTCATACCTTATATATGTTAAATTAAATTATCTATCATTTCTGCATGCTATTCGGCGGTATACGCTTTTTATTTACATTCTAGGGAAGGAAGTAGTCAAATGCTCATCATTTGTACTACAAACTTCAAGAAGGAACTTAATTATGATGCTCATACATGGTCAGCATGCAAACTTCTAAGTTTCAGTCTTTCTTCTTTTATATCTTTTTCTTGCTTTTATTTTCTTACTTTTCTTGCATTATGGTGTTTACAAATTTTTTTAATATATATTTTGTTTGTTGAAAAAATTTCTTAGTTCATATGTTTATATTATTTTTTGTAGATTTTTGGTTGCATGATGTATTTACTTTTACATGCATATACATAATGTAGTTTTATGTTGTAATTTTATAGTGTATTTTCTTATAAATTAGTTAATATTCAAATTAATTTAATGTTAGCAATAGTGTGTTTATTAAAAAGAATATAAAACAAAAAAAATATTCGACATATTGAAAGTGCATTTCCACTATATTTTGTTGCTTCACGTCATCATCATTCATTATCATTTTATGTTTTGTGCTTCTAGTAGAAATAGAAAACTTGTGCATGCTGGGTGTAGTATTGTTTAGTATTATGAGTTAAAACATTCACTAATATTTTTGTTTCTTTTTTTTTTGCATTACAGTAAAATGAAAAGACATCATGAAGGCCACACATTGTTCAACATCGGCGTAAAAATTATTATAATAATTTATTATTACAACATGATGATTATGATAAATTTTACGGAATAAACGTGTATTCTTCTTGATGAAAAATATTCACTGCTGTACCTTTTTTTTATGCCTTATTGTCGATAAACCATGTATCCGCAAATGTATCAGTTTGTAAACATGAGTATTCTGGTTGTGAAAATGTTTATTTTGATACAAAAAATGAATATGTTTTAGGTACAAAATTCAATAAAAGTCGCATAATTTTACTTTCCATTAGAATGTCCCACATTATCCCATTAAAACTTCTGCAGATCCTTTAGGAGTAAACTCCTTAGTAGTTTTATCATCCTCCACCGAATTGTCTGTTCCTAATGAGGAACTTTCAACTGAAGAGGTCGGTATAGTATTCTGTGTTGTTATGACTGTACTGGTTTCTTCAGTCACTGATGGCGTCTCATTTTCCGTTGATGTTGGTAAAATTTCTGTAGTCATAAGATCAATCACAGTTTCAAAGGTTTCCTCAATATTTAGTTCAGTTGAATCCATTGATGAAACGGTACTTTCACTTGATGGGAAATCCAATTCATCAAAACTGTTGTCAAATCTATTATCATCTTTATATTGTTTTCGAATAATGTACCAGTTGCCAATGCGGAATCCAAAATCACGATTAGGATCGAAAGTTAAATTCTCTGTATTTTATAAAAAAAAATTGCATTAGTTTTGCAACGTTGATAAAAATGATTGTACAATGAGTTTAAAGATTTATTTACTTAAGTCTAACAGAAACCATTCCCGAGTGTTTAATCTTTGCTGTATTTGAAAGTGATCCAAACTTAATATTTCTGTTGACAAAAGAGAGGGTGCTGTCGTAGTTTCTCCAAATAATGTTTCATGAATCCGATTTTTTAAATTACCAAGCCAATCTCCAATTGTGTGGAAAAATTGACCATCCCGAAGATGTGTCTGCAATTTACTATTTTCTGTAACAAGAAAATTTATACAAAAATTTACGCTGGTATTGTTTAATAATTGATTCTTCTCTTTTATTGCATAACAATATTTTAAACACAAACGCTGTTATTAATAATTAGTCACTTCTTCGAATTTTGGAAGCCGCAACGTCCCCTCAAATTTTGTAATCGAACCACGTTCTTAGGTCTTTTTTATTCAAAACGTCACTGACGCCCAAATATTTCATTAAATTTTTTAAAGTATTGCAAAACAAATTTGACGAACACAAAAATTTTGAAAATCCGAAGAATGGTTAAGCGAGTTCAAGTTTTCATTATTAAAATATTCTTAGATCAGATCTTAGTAAAATAATATAAATTATGGCACCTCCGTTATAAATTCGTATCGGCGTTGACACCTTGCAAGCAGCAAGCACTAAAAGGACGATAAGGATTTTCATCTTTTCTCAACAAATACTAGCCGATATGAGAAAATATTCGTGTCTTTATATGCATTTTGCCGGAAACGAATGACCATTATAACGACAATTTTATCGAATTCAGAATCAAGTAGATTTTGCGCAATACTGTTATTCAACAATGATGACCTTCTTTGCTCTGCTTGGACGTCTATTATACTGCAGACGTAATAATGAAGGTGTAACAAATATTTGTTCTATACATATTATTTAAAACAAACTTTACAAGTTAAGAACGATAATTGAACACCATCTCGTGTTTCTCAATTTGTATCGATATACGTTGTTTAAAAGTAACAAACCCATATCAATAATTATCCCTTTTACAATGTCTAAAATTGGCTCCTTGGAGAAAGGATAACATAACTAATTTCTTCGTGGTCATATCAATAATTGTTTGGTTTATTTTCAGTAGTTAAGATATTTTATAAAATTTGTACGAAAAGAAAGTAAAATTATAGAATGTTCTAGGTCTTAGAATCTAAGAGATGAGTGAAAATATGTTGACATTAAAATTAAGGAATGAATGGAGTATAATGAAAACTATATCAATTAGTATTAAAAATGTAATCCATGCTGCAAGGTTAATACAATATAATAATTGTAAAATAATATAATTATCTTCGAAGAAACGAAAGTGCGTTCTTCGTGGAAGTTCTGCGTAGAACATGCATGCGCAAAATCGGAAGTAATCGTAAACACAAGCGCCGCTATATCCTATTTAAGTAATTACAAAAAATGCGCGCTCAATTTGAATATATAGTACATAACAGTTGTTTTGACTTTTACAGAAAGAACAATAATTTATTATCGAACGAGAAGGTGCATATCAGGTTTCAGTGACCAGTAATTTGAAATTAGAATTCTAAATTAATTAATCATTGTCAATCTATATTGTTGCATAGTACATAATGGTTATTGCTATTATTTTAATCAAGTTTCACGTTCAAATGTGATGTACTATGTCCACAGTGTATGATACATTGTACGCAATTAATGCATTGTCGAGTACCTCCTAAAATTGTTAAATGTCTAAAATGTTAGATGACCATATTCTTATATTACCATATTACCATATTTCGTTAATATCTTTTTATTACATAAATTTAGAGCAATAGCTGTGGAATACAGCGGTGACTTGTTAACGCTATATTATTACTGTGGATAATGTTTCTGTTATCAGAAGTAATGCGTACATCTGAGTATTAGGATACACACTTCTTTTGTCAACTAAATATTTTAAAATGTCATAAAGACTCTATTGTTCCACAATTCTGCAGGTCTGCACAGCAGGCCTCTCGTTTGGAGATGTCTATTTTGTTACCGTAATCTGATTCTTCAAGTCTCCTGCGTCGGAAAATAACTAAATTTTAGATCTCATCGCGATCACTTTGAGTGTTACATTTATTTCGTCAACTATAATCTTTGAATTATATTATTTCTATGTATGCTATTTTCTAAGAATGACTTATAAACTATTCCGTGTACACTCCTTCCATGAATTACATCCTGAATCCTGTATCTAGTGAAAGAATTCACACATGCTGGTTGGACTCTGAATTTGGAGGGAACCCTTATGAAGGTTGGAACAAGCGAGCTACTAGCTTCGATCATAAGGAGTGTGGATGTGTCTGCTGCGATACGAAAATCCTTCTCGTATTTTTAATTATTGAACATTAAGGACTTTAGTTTGACTTGTAAGATATCTCCAACTGATTTCTACTCGAACATACGCTATTGCAGTTAGAATAGACATGTTATTGTGTAAGTTGGCCTAAAAGATTCTCCGTATTCAAGAATGTATACCACATCGTTGGAAGTTCAGTTGGAACATTGACCCTACCAGCGAATCACGTAAGAACCGTATAAATTAAGCGTTTTTTAACGTGTTATGACATTTAAGGACCAGGTACGTAATGTGTATTTATGTTTTTTTACATAACTAAAACTGCTAACAGGTTAGGAACCCGAACTTTCAAGAGTTGCTCGTGGCATCCTAACGCAATCTGGTCGGAAGCAGTTAGCAGTACAGTTACTTATAACATAAGTGAGAGGTATGTTGAACGAAATTATTTAAATGTATGATTAATATGATCAAAGTATATGATTATAGATGTACTTTACGTGAACGTATTGACGAATTAAGTAATTGCGAAACATTTCGTGCAAGGTTCAACATGGACTCTCTTTAGCTTTTTTGGGATGGTACAAAACTGATCCCTTTGTAAAATTTATGATTTTATTTAGATGATGTAATATATCATTACGAAAATTCACAGATCTGATATATAGTTTAGTCAAAGTTTAAACATTTGGGTTCATCAAATTTTGAATGATTTTGAACGAGATTTTAGGAACAAACTGATGATGTTTATATCATCTCATAACTTTCAATCAACAAATTATATATGTTTATGTTAAATATAAGATTAAATTTCCAACCTATAAGACTGAAATTAAAGATAGTATGAAAAATTTTTATTTCACACAATAACAGTAACTGTTCTGTCATGATATTTGGAAATCGTATTAAGCTAACCTCAAATCGAAGTGTATTTCATTTAGGAGACATGTTGGTTTACTATGCTTCATCCTAAAGTAGCTATAAAATCGATTTAAAAGGACGTAAACCTTTATTTCAATAGTTATTAAAAAATTTATCGGAAATTTTGATCAAATCCAAATTTTTAACAACTTGAAATATTGTAATGTCAGTTGTAATGTAAATGCTGTGAATTGTAATGTAAATTTGTAAGCTAAAAAATTAAGACTATATAAAGATGATACAACTGCTACTGCTTTTTATAATGCAACAAAAAGAATATTTAAAGCTGCAAAGAGGGAATCAAAATGTTGACTTACTTCACATATATAACTTATGTGTAGCTATATTCAGAACGTATTGACCTTGAATTTTCGCAACTATTTCAGCCTCCCGCGTTTTCGCTTAAAATGTTAAGAAATGATTTCTTCAATGAAATATATCCAAGCTACGATGAAAGCGAAAGTGATGATCTGTTAGAGCAGAAAATATGCGTTACGGATTATTGCATACCTAAACTCGAACCTCCTTGTCTTCAAACATCTTTTAACTCAAATGAAGATGATATACTGAATCCTGTAAGTAAATAGTAAAAGTACCTGTAAATGCATAATTTTTATTTCTGCTAACTATTTGGTACATGAATTCAAATTTGTTTTATTTCTATTATAATTTAAGGTATATAAATATATTTAGACATAATATCATAAAACATGTGGTCACCTTAGTATCATAACTTGAGACTTATTGTCAAGGAATAAGGAACAAGGAATGTATTTCATTATATTTTTTCTGATTTCAGGATGAATTAACGTCACCAATTCCTTTTATTGTACCATATAAAATTAAGGATCCCATTGTGGTGCTTGAAAGATGTGATAAAATATGGGAAACATTGCAGTTAATAAAAAATGTTCAAGAGAAAACATGTGTCAATTCAATTAATGAATTATCATTGGAATCCAGAAGTTCAACACCATATGTTGATTACCACCCAGTGTTGTCTCATGACAATGCTGCATTACCAGATTTTAAACTCGCAGTTAAGACTAAAAAGAAATTATTTCAATGTCCAACTTGTGGAAAGCTTTACATGAAACATGTTAACTTGAGACAGCATGCAGAGAGAGTACATCAGATATTTATACTCCCATTGCGAATTAGGCACCCCAATGAAAAAGATAAGGAAAAAAAGAAAGAAAAAGAAAAAGATCTAGAAAAGGAGTCTAATGTGTTTGAGAAAGAGAAAAAGGATCTCGAACAATCATGTTCGAAAGAAAGTGAAAATAATCTTCCAGATACTTTGTTGCAATCTGCAACATTATCTTCGACAGAACAAGATATGCTTACTAATAAAAAACTTAAAACCAAATCAAGTGTTTCAATACAACCCGGTAACAATATAAATGACCATGAAAATTCAAAAAAAAAGCTAGAAAAAAAATTACAGAATAAAGATTTGCGACAAAATGAAAAACAAATTTCCTTACATCAAGATTCAACATTACAAACATGTTCATTATGCAAACAAACAATAAAGGATATTAAGAAACATTTTACTGATTATCATAAAATCGAATCTTGTGAGTTCATGCTGAAAGAATTAGAAAAACCTTCTCTTGTGCTACAAGATGAAGAATCCAATAATATGACTGTGAATAATGAACCTCTGGAAGAAGATGAAATTCTTAAAAAACAGTCTCCTATTCAAGGAAGGCAGAAACGAAAATCAAGTGTATCACCTGTAGATCCTAAAAAAAGACGTAAAACTAATAATAGTGATACATTGCACGAAGAAAATTCCCAGAAATGTGATACACGAAAATGTGATGTTTGTCTTGGATTATACAAACGACGTAGTTTTCATAAACATTTACGTCGCCATCGAGTCCGCGGAGAAACGAAAGAGAATATTCATTTATTTAGGTGCAAATATTCAAATTCCCCATTATATTTCAAACACAAGGAAGGCTCGAATGTAAATGGTGCACCCCCCAAAAATACTAATAAGATTAGTAGTCCAGATTTGTCTAAAAAAAGAGAAGCAGGACAGCAAATGCTTGAAAATTTGATTAAGGATAAAGATGGATGCAATACAGACAGTTCTGACAGTGTTGAAAAGAACTGTATTTGTGGAAAACAGTTTCGTCATCCTTATAGCTTCTTTTTGCATAAAAAAAATTGTACTTTGATGGATAATAAAATACCTGCAGAAGAAAATAACTTGGGCAAATCAATTTCAAATCATAAACAAGATAGTTGTGATAAAGAGTGTAATTCTGCGATTAGTATAACAATAAAAAAAAAGAATAATTCTTACGAAATTGTTGGTAAAAATGGTGAAATCGAAAATAAGTTACAAAATCTTAGTCATTCAAAAAAAGCTGAACTATTAGATGTTTCTCAAGATAAGACTCAAGTAAAATCACGTAATCAGTCGCTTGACGACTTGGAAGCATCTAAATATAGTAAATATCATAGTATTTTAAAAATTCAAACTGTTGAAGAAGATATTGATATTGACATTGAAGAAGAATCTCAAAGTAAATCATGTAATAATAACATTGATCAGATGAATGAATTAATAAAAAACGTCTGTATAGAAGAAGATGATAGGATATTTTGTAACGAGAAAAGTACGGAAGACGTAAATAGTACACAAAAACAAAAGGTTAATTTAAAATCGACGAATGGGAAAGTCCTACGACCACGACAATATAATGCTAATATAGCTCACAAATATAACATTTGTGTATGTGGAAGTAAATTTTACAACAGGAAAGCTTTTGATATTCATATTAGTAAGCACCAAACAAATTCAGAATTAACGTGTGGTTACTGTAAAACTGTTTTTACTGATATCAGTACATGGGATAGACATCAATGTTATGTTAAATTAGCTAAACGATTTATTGATTCCACACCAGGAATGAATTGTTATTATTGTAGTACTATGTTTCTATCACTTCAAGCCTTTGATGATCACATGAAGCACAAACACTTTGATGCTAAATTACCATATCAATGTCCTGAATGTCATAAACGTTTCACTACTTTCGCATTACGAAAATTACACTTTAGTGCAGAGCATAATCGAAGTATTTGTTCTATTTGTCAAAAAGAATGTCGTTATGATGTAAAATTCAGGCATGATGGATATCATTATGGACTTGGATATCCTTGCCATTTATGCAAGAGAGCTTATTCAACTAGAGACAGATTATCAAGCCATAAAGGTAAACAACATTCCAAACCAATAAATGAGATAAATGATTCTAATGAAACACTTTTCATGAATTCTAAAAATCAGTCCTTACCTGCAACAGATAAACTACTACATAGAAAGTCATTAAGACATGTTAATAAAAATATTGAACTAGATAGTTTAAATAAATATTTTTATGTATAAAGAGTGAAAATATCATTAGATTGTGTTAAAACAAAATTTGTATTCTATTTTCACGATTTTTTATTGAAAATAAATGAATCATATTTTTTTTTATATAATTTATTTTCAATAATCGATTTTTTATTGAAAATAAATGAATCATATTTTTTTTTATATAATTTCATTTCATTGCAGGCAATTATGCCACGTATTTGAATATATTTTTAAACAGTAAGTGTATATATAAGAATGGTGGTTTAAGTATTATAAAAAGTGTACAATATTCACAGCATTAAGTTTCATTTCTATTGTTTAAAAAAATATATATGTATAGATATATATTGAAATGAATTCTCATTTGTATACAAAACGTTGTTTTAAATGTAAAATGCTTATTGTAAAATATATATATAATGATACTATATTTAAAGCTAGTGTATCTACATTAAAAATACATAATTTCGATAAACATACATGGCCAATATTGATGTTTCTGTTTATTATAATTATTAGAATGAAATTTGATGAAACCAAAGTATAGTTCATACTTAGAACGAAATTAATGGTATTCATAAACTTTAAGTAATTCACGAAAATATGTTACATAACAATTATCACGGCAAACATATTTTTTTATGAGATTATGTTTAGTTCATAATCAGTGTTTGTTGTGTAAACTACATAAGTAAGTATTACTAATTGAATAATTATTGTTTCTAAAATTCTAAAATAAGTATTCTAATTATTTTAATTAAACAAGAAATGGTATTATTATATAGTATTGTAATTCGTATTTTAATTATTTATTCTGTAATACCTTAATATAAAATAGTAATGTAATTAAAATGTAATAAACCGGATAAACATAAAAGTATAAAAATGTGTTTGTCAAATTAATGTAGTTGTTTGCTAATTATTTTGTGTTGACAAAATTTTACTCTTATTAAAAAAAAAGAATGTTTATTTTTATACTATTAATTATATAGTCGCTTTTAATATATTGTTTTTATGTTACACTGTCCAATTTACAATTGAATGACTTATACTTTTGTTAATAATTTCTAGTTCTATATAAAACAACTACATTGCTGAAAAGAATTTGAAACTGTAAGCTTACTTGGAAATTTCTTTTCAGCATTCTTTTTATAATTTGAAAATATTTTAGTTGCTTTCGTGGAATAAAATAAGCTTGAGATATCGATTAGTCAGATAACGATTTTTAAGATTATTTTCTTTGAGTTCTAATATCAAAATTTGTACAAGATAAACTCATATCGAAAAATAAAAGAACTTATTTGTGCACATTCGAATGTTTGTACTCCTCACATCATATTGCAAATTTATTAAAATTTGAACATGCATTTCCGGTTTGATTCTATCGACAAGGGATCAAATTTCTTGGGTATTTTACGAGAGCAGTGGCGGTAATCGGAAAATTCGATTAAAAAGTGGGGGTAGCCAGTGTATTTGGAACATGATCACCAGGCGTCGCTTCGAACGTAACCCGTCGCCATCGAAGTTATAAAACGGATCAAAGCCGTGCGGAGTTTCAAGGAGGGTGGTCGCGTTACGCTCGGAACTTTCTCAGACGATATCCTTTTGAGTTACACACAGAGAAATACATATACATATATACATGGTTCAGTTCGCGTAACGCATATAAAAAATGACGAAGCGTCGTGTGATTTGACAGTGAAGAAACATTTAATGAGAAAAGTGCCTCGGTATCCTGTGGTTGGTATTCGAGAATTCAAAGTATCACCTCAACACCCTGTAGCTCCCTGGTTAGTCGCGTCATTTTTCGGTGCATCAGGATTCGATTACGAAGCGATTATTCGACGGGTCGACTCTGGATAGATCGGTGTATAACGTCGATGAATGAAAGTAGGACAAAATAAGGTTCGAACAAGGCATCAAAATGTTGACGATCATACTACTGTACGATTTTACAAAAAATAAGCAACTAACGCCGGCATAGTTACATACGTGTGCACAGTGACTCGGGCAATAGCCTGCAGCAGAAATTTCTGCTTTAGAGAAATATGGAGAGTCTATATCGATCATGCATTACTATAATTAATAGAATCTATTTAGCAGTGATCTCACAGTAATCGGTTTTTACAAGCTTCTGCTACTCAAAAATTTCAGATGTATATTTTATTCCATTCGTGCAAAGGGCTATTGAAGTTATCGTTGCCTATGTGTCCATGCTAACTTTTAAAAATATAGGCCACGTCCACCGAATGTAAACCTTTTGAACTCAGTAATTTTGAACTCAGTTTCATTTCAGCTCCGTGCACGTATGCAAATGATCTCTTCATCTTAAGAGCAACCAATTACAGGATCCGATATATCCTTTTTTTGTTCTCGAAGTTTCACAGAGATCCATTGTATCTCGTTTTACGTGTCAAGTACACGTTACTTACGGATTTCGGAAGTCGAAATGACGGTCTCGGACGATTTGACTGCTTTTATCGTGGCGGTTCCTATAGTCGAGAGGCGCGCAGTGCTCAAACGGGCACGGCCGAATCGATTTTCCCTGGTTCCACTACTGACGATAGAGCTACGCGTGTGATTCCTCGAGGAGCTGTTTGCAACTACCAGAAATTATATTTCAGTTTTTCTCGTCGCAGAGTTGTTCCTCCCGAAAGTGACATAGTCGTATTGACAGCATCGATGTCTTTGGGGTCGAAAATTATGCGCGACCCGAAAGAGACATAATTTGTGGTATCACGTAGGAATCCGACATCCAAGATAGTAATTCATTAATCAGTGTGTGCATTTACGCTAATCGATTAGTTTTCGATCAGCATGTGCTTCGTGAAGTCTGCTTACAACGTGCTTGAACTAGCTCGTCATATACCGTTATACCACCCGTATCGTCCGTCGGGAATCCTAAAAATAGCGGAGACCAGTGAACGAAAGTAATTCTCCTACACTTTTCTAATGAATTTCGGTAGCATGCCAGTGAAAGGGTACCGCGTTAACAAGGTCACATCGCGAATGAATCTCTGATCGATTACTTTGTCGTTTCTCGATGTTTACGTAAAGTGCAGTAGAGGTATGAATCAACTGTGTATTTTTCTCATGCTAATCGGCCGATTTATTTACAAGTATTCCTAGAACGTTGAGCGGAGTTCTTTTCCGGTTTCATCCAGCGAGTCTCTTACGAGATTCCCGAGCCGTAACTCGCGAGCTGATGTTAAATATTAAAATATGAAATATTAAGCAGTGGTGAAACAACATTTTTCATTTTCCTCTTTCGTTGAAAATGTGGTCTACAAGCTGCTCGAAAAGTTTCGCAATCGATAGTAGGATGTGGACTTTGGGTCCTTGAGATGGCAATCTGGAGTTTCAGAGCTTTGGGACTTTGGAGTTTTTGGATTTTTTAATTTTGTTGAGAAATTGGGATTTTTAGCAATTAGGGTTCTTGAGTTTATAGTTTAGAGACTTTGGTATTTGACAGTTTTGTCTTGAGACTTTGGAACTGTAGACATTGCAACTTTATAGGACTTCCATAACTACGAGACTTTGATATAGAACTTCCAGATTTCGGAGCATCTCTGTTTCACATTTTTTCAATCTGACATTTTGGAAGTTTTTAAATTTCCCAATCTCAAAGTCACAAACGAAGTTCCTTTTCATCGTCCCAAAATATTTCTAAAGTACAATGCTATCAAAGTTTTAATTTCATATAATGCTATCAAAATCTTAAAGTTCAAACACTCCAAAGTTCTCAAAGTCCTACTTGCGACGCTTAAAAAGGGTTTGAATAAAAAACTACTCCATAAAATCTGACATTCTGTACATATAACGCGTCCCACCCAAAGTCACCTCGTGACCCGAGCAGTTCGGGATTCACACCTTAGTATCTCTGCTAGACAAAGTGTAGAGTCGATGACCCATAAAGTCAGTAGGTGTAGTAACAGGGAGATCTGTGGCAATGAGATTAGAAAGAATAATCGACTACATTGACCCATTTCTCCTGATCGTCTCGTTCGTGCAGATATCCGGATTCTGGTCAACGGACCGACATTGGTAATCAGTGAACGGAAGGAAGGTTTGAGGTGCGAAACGCGAAAGGGTGAGACGGCAAGGGTGAATCGGCAGCGGAGGGTTAGGCCGAAGTGATGACGGGCGAGGAAGGAAAGTGCGGGGGTGGAACTGGCACTGGCGGGGGTGCTGGTAACACCAATGCGAACACAAACGTTACCGACAACGTGAACAATGTTAACGCGAACGTACACGCGAACGTTAATGCCAACATAAATGTCAGCCAACAAAATGGAGGGCCGGAAAAAGCGCCTGTCGTCGGCGGTACCAACGTGGAAACATTACCCCGCGCTGAAAAACAGGTAAGACAGTTTTTATGTTATTTACAGTGAATTCTGTGTGCTGTGAGCTACGATAGAACGACTGTAATTGGTTCTAAAACCTCGCTCGTTCTGTCGTACAAGATTACCCTTCGTGCTGGGGGTAAATTTATTCGTCGGTACGTTGTGTACTGTTAATGTGGAGCCATCATGAAATTGTACGTTTTTAGGGCTGTTGTTGTTGGAGAAATTAGGGTTTGGAATTTTGAAATTTCAGAGTTTGGGAATTTGGGAATAGTAGGTTTTGGCTGTTTAAAATTTGGGTCTTTGGGTAATTTAGGTTTTGGCTATTTGAAATTTGGGCTGTGGGGAATTTAAATATTTTAGGGTTTGGCTATTTCAAGTTTGGTTTTTAGGGAATTTAGGTATTTTAGGTTTCGGCTATTTCAAGTTTGGGTTTTTGGAAATTTAGGTACTTTAGGTTTTGGCCATTTAAAATTTTGGGCTGTGAAGCATTTAGGTATTTTAGGTTTTAGCTATTTAAAATTTGGGTTTTTGGAAATTTAGGTATTTTAAAATTTTGGTTATAGGGAATTTAGGTACTTTAGGTTTTGGCTATTTCAAATTTGGGCTTTTGAGAATTCGGGAATTCAGGTATCTTATCTTTCAGCTATTTAAAATTTGAGTTTTGGGGAATTTATGAATCTGGAAGTGAATTTGAAATTTAAGAATTTTAAGATTTTAGAATTTAACCCTTTAAATATGGAAATTCTGATATTTGCAAACTTAACATTAAAACTACCAAACCAGTCAAACGACCGCTCCATAAATTTCTTATTGTAAGGAACTCATTTTGTTATAAACTGGCGGGGGTGCTGGTAACACCAATGCGAACACAAACGTTACCGACAACGTGAACAATGTTAACGCGAACGTACACGCGAACGTTAATGCCAACATAAATGTCAGCCAACAAAATGGAGGGCCGGAAAAAGCGCCTGTCGTCGGCGGTACCAACGTGGAAACATTACCCCGCGCTGAAAAACAGGTAAGACAGTTTTTATGTTATTTACAGTGAATTCTGTGTGCTGTGAGCTACGATAGAACGACTGTAATTGGTTCTAAAACCTCGCTCGTTCTGTCGTACAAGATTACCCTTCGTGCTGGGGGTAAATTTATTCGTCGGTACGTTGTGTACTGTTAATGTGGAGCCATCATGAAATTGTACGTTTTTAGGGCTGTTGTTGTTGGAGAAATTAGGGTTTGGAATTTTGAAATTTCAGAGTTTGGGAATTTGGGAATAGTAGGTTTTGGCTGTTTAAAATTTGGGTCTTTGGGTAATTTAGGTTTTGGCTATTTGAAATTTGGGCTGTGGGGAATTTAAATATTTTAGGGTTTGGCTATTTCAAGTTTGGTTTTTAGGGAATTTAGGTATTTTAGGTTTCGGCTATTTCAAGTTTGGGTTTTTGGAAATTTAGGTACTTTAGGTTTTGGCCATTTAAAATTTTGGGCTGTGAAGCATTTAGGTATTTTAGGTTTTAGCTATTTAAAATTTGGGTTTTTGGAAATTTAGGTATTTTAAAATTTTGGTTATAGGGAATTTAGGTACTTTAGGTTTTGGCTATTTCAAATTTGGGCTTTTGAGAATTCGGGAATTCAGGTATCTTATCTTTCAGCTATTTAAAATTTGAGTTTTGGGGAATTTATGAATCTGGAAGTGAATTTGAAATTTAAGAATTTTAAGATTTTAGAATTTAACCCTTTAAATATGGAAATTCTGATATTTGCAAACTTAACATTAAAACTACCAAACCAGTCAAACGACCGCTCCATAAATTTCTTATTGTAAGGAACTCATTTTGTTATAATACATTCCTTAAAATCAGCATTGATTTTCATCAAGATAAAGAATAAATGTGTACTAATTTATGTTTGGTTGTTTGTTTATTTATTTTTCAACTTCATTTTTAATTTCAAATGAAGTACACATTATACGTTGGTAGGTTTAATGTTAAGTACGAATTTGGCCATTTAGAATTTCTGCTCTTGATTTTTATATTTGGGAAAAAGATGTAGGAATGTAAGGAGATAATAATCTGAAGATATGAATAATTTTTGTACCTATGTGAATTATTCTACATCCCTCACGACGCTTTAGGGGAAGTTCACCCTGGTCCCCATCTAGTTACGTCAGTGTTTATCGCACACATTAGTCACGCGAGTCTCGTTTTCTTGTTCTTTGTGTGACACGTTGTCGGTTCAGGTTACAGAGCATTTACCGTGTTAAGCAAGACGAGCAAGTTTATCTTGACAGAAGGATTAGAAAACATGGAATTTTGATGAAATGTGGTAATTTAATATTTATGAAAGGGAGAAAGGCGACACTAGAAGCTGTGCATCCGGTTTTCTGTAGTTGTGATACCGCATGGAACCAGCAGGTTATTCCACCCTTACGCATCTAGTCGTATAGCGATGGTCAATGGATCATAGTTCGCGAGAGTAAGAGAACTACAATTTTTAATCGTGTGTTCTTACTGTGACTATTTGTCTACTGTACTATTTATTTTTACTGTGACTTATTATTTAAACACAAAAAAAAATAAAATGAAATATTTGTCGTTTCTATAATATTTAAAATAAACTGCTAATAATTGAAACTACTTATGTCAGTCAAAATACTGTCACCTTCAATTTAGCGATATTTTTGTGTCATCAATTCGTGTCAAACTTTATATGTTTCAAGACCAGTTATTGTTCGTTATAATTGGCGATCAGTCAATGTATATTAAGAACCTTAATGAACAGTTTATATAACGATTTTCAGTCTATCACTCAAGTTTGTTTTTTCTCTTTGGTTTCTTTACGAGGCCTGCGTCTTAATCGCTTTGAGAGTAAATGCCTGTACCGTACTAAGTGTAAGACGCTATGTTAGGCGTAATGACTGATTGTTCTAACTCAGAGGTCACGGTTAACCTACGTTAACGTGGGTTGTGAAAGTGGTACCTGGAAGATATGCGTGGTGCGTTTAAGTTTTTACGGGTTGCGTATAGTTCAGCCTGCACAATGGAAGGTTATTTCTATTCCTGTTTCAGAACTTAACCCTTTGTCGAATACATTCACATTGTAACTTATCATTTTATGTATTCGTTTTTAAAGCGTTAGAAATCTACAACATAAATTTTTATAGGTGTATGCAACTTTTTATGTCACTTGATAATGAATTTCTCTGAAAACGCAATCTTATCATTTTTATTTTTATTCTCTTAATCGTTTCTGGAGTCTTGTCATTTTTTAGTGAAAATATCTTTACTGTTATTTGCTTATTACATGAGAAATTGTTAATTATTACTGAATAATTAGATCAATTCAATACTTTAACAGTAAGATACCTTATTTCAAATTTGTATACAGCTATGTTCCACATTTTACCACGAATTTCAAAATAAAATTACAAACGTAATTTTGTGTGTTCTCGATAAACACATGGAAGGAAAATGTCAACAAGAAGTGAACTTGAAAAAAAAAAATATTTGAACTTGAAAATTTGCGGACGTAACATGAATTGAACTTTAAAATTTACAACGAAATATTTCTATTGGCACTACCAATAGGTAGTAATGTGTACACAAAGGTGTAAAGGTCTCATTTCTATTTTTAATATGATTAAATGAGATTTATTTTTATGTGAACGGTGTTTTTCGCGGTTTCGAGAATAACGAAGCGTATTTCCAGAAAAAGTAGCCTTCTGCATTCATAAAGGAACGCATATGGATTCGAGCCAAAAACTTGTACCTTTTTTTCTTTTTGGCGAAATATATTTTATCTCAGAGATGAATTTAGTCGCGCAGAAATACTTACAAAAGGAATGAAAAAAGAAGATGCTAATTTGGGTGCAGTCCATCTTGGATTCTAAATTGTTACATCAAATAAGTACATTTTGATGACGAATTTGAAGCATTTTCTGTGGTAAATAAGCCGAGTGCTTCAAATTTAATTGAAGCGTTGAAACACTTCTTGCGCTGTTCGACTTCTAAGAATGTACTTGTGAGTTTACTGCTTCTGCGATTATTGAAGAGTTGTTGATACTTCGTAGTTTAAATCGATCTCGGAATATACTGTTTATACTTTGAAATTTGTATTGTTCAATTAAAATAATAAAGTGTATAACAAAATTAGAATGTCTATTTTTCTGACAAAAATATCGTGACTATATTTTTTATCGCGTCTTCGTAAAATATATATCCTTCGTTTGAAAATGTATGTTTAATTATCGAAGTGAAAATTTGTGAATTCATCGAAAAATAACAACAGCAAAAACTCAATGAATTATGTAAAATCTAATAAATATAAGTATCGCAACTATTTTAGTAATTTTTATTTTATTTCAAAATAGTCTGTTTTATGTATGATATTTGAATGTGAATAATAAAAAATAAAATTGATGTAACACCAAGGAAATGACTTTCATTTTTTATCCACGGAAATTATAAAGAATATTTTTATTTGTACAATATACGACTTCATTTTTTATACTGTAAACATTGGGATGCTGCGTCGTTGCAACTAAATGGTGGTCAGTCGACAAAATGGTTGGGAAACATTGTTGTACTGGTTTTATTTAAAAGTGAAAGTTTTAACACGTTTGCCTGGGAACTCTTTCTTTTCTTCAATACTCTTTTATGATTCAATCAATTCTTTATTTGAAAATATTTGCTCTATTTTTTGTAAACGTGAGTTGTATACTGTGCAATAAATACACTGTGCTTTAAACATGAATTTCCAATAGTGTGAAATATTTCATTTTGATATTATATGTTGAAATATTTAGTGTTAGTTTTATGAGTTGAAGTATTAATTTTAATAGTAGTTTTAATTTTATGTTATAAGTTGAAGTATTTAGTTTTAATATTATGTTATAAGTTGAAGTATTTAGTTTTAATATTATGTTATAAGTTGAAATATTTAATTTTATCATTACGTTGAAAGTCGAAATGTTTAATTTGAATAATATGTCGTAAATTGAAATGTTTAATTATAACATTATATTGTGAACTAAAATATATAATTGTAAATTAAGTAGCAAGTTGAAATGTTTAATTTCAATAACACTTTGTAAGTGGAAATATTTAATTTCAACATTTGCTGAAATGTTTAATTTCAACAATTTTTTGTAAATTGAAATGTTTAACTTTAACAATATTTTGTAAGTTGAAATCTTTAATTTTATAAGCTGAAAAGTTGAATTGAACAACCTAATATCAGCTAAAATATTGAACGTCAACATTACATCACAAGTTCAAACATCAAAGATCTCAGATATACCTAAAAAATAAACTACTCATACATATTCATAGCTCCCATTAAATTATTTCGAACACGTAGTTCCAGCATTTACGTCGGTTATAAACTCCAATTAGCAATTTCGTGATATTGCATAGCTAGTCTCTCGCCGCAAATTGCGCTCAAGTACCGAATTCGAGCGTTTAAAGCATTTTAATAAAGTTCGGTGTATAGATAATACACCGAGCGTGATAACTCATCAAAAGGGTTGTTGTTACGTATCAGAATTCCCCGCGTTACCAAGAAGTTCTTTTAATACGCACCGAGATTATGCGAACTCGGATTACTATCCGACATCTGCAATCCGTCTGTACGTGCCCGTATTTATCTGCTCGGTATACACACTTTGGGCACACGTAAAATTACGTCATAATCCTATCAGTATGGACCTTGTAGATGAATCTTCGCAAATGGAGCTTCATTCATACCGCGAGGCCATGGTTACTATCGTTCATCGTTTTACGCGTAACTATACACAAGAGAGAAATTTTCTTTGGCTAATAACCGATGTTAATTATTATATTGTTTCCTACTGGGAGAACGAACGTACACAGCGTATTACAATATCCATTATCTTGTAACTGTTGTTTAATTTTTTAATTTAATCTCACTGCGTTAGCATAATAGAAATCCCTCTTTTGTTAACTATAATTACCCATTAGTATTGAAGTCAAGAATGATTGATTTGAGTAAAATTTCTGTCGAAAG